CTCATGTGTGTCCGGGCCGAGGCTCGAACCCTTGACATATTGGTGAGAGTTTAGCATTACCGCTGTACCACCAACACCCCTTACTACTGTACTAATATGACCTCGTCCCAGAGTACAGTACTGATCATTATACTGTACAATACTGTAACTACAGTACCTGTACCTTTATTAACTGTATACAGTATTGTTTAATGCTCAGAGTCTAATACTGTTCAGAATTATTTTCCTTCATTGTAAAATGAGAATTTTACTCTACAGTAAGTCCTCGCTTAATGTCGGGGTTATTATGAGGGCCTGAGCTGCCACCATTTTATAAGGGCCTGTGTGTCAGTTACAATTCCTTTTACTCTCATACTTATTACCATTGGTAGCGTGACGAGAGGAGGCTCGTGGGTAGATGTAATGATAGTAACAAGTAATAGGGGAGAAATAACAGTAAATACTGTAGGTAAATAATAGACACAATATACAACTACAAAATTTATTTAAACATTAATATGGATGTAGGAGAAAGAATATATTTGTACCAACAGACGAAATCTGGTACTATGCCCTCAGGCTCAACATACTCACACCACTACTGGGTGGACATACTCAATAACACTTCCAACCCTACTGGGGGGACATACTCAATAACACATAACTCTTATAGTCACTTAGCACCATAAAGACCAGGGGCAACTGCCACTACAACACTCCGTCGTCAGGAGTGATACTCAAGCAACCGCCATGGGGTCCTGCCACCATGGGGCACTTTCCGACGAACTCTGAAGATCCCAGTGGATTAACCCCACCACACAAATAGCCCTACTGAGTTAGGCACTCATCCACCAATGATGGGGGCTGGTAGTGGTGTGTGGCTTGGTGATCCGGGGTCACCTCGCAGGCCTAGCGTTAGGGCCAGACGAGCCAGCTATGGGGGCCATAGGTAGTCTGAAGTGTCTTGACGGCCGGGTCTCACGAAGGTAACTGATCCTACTGGACCTCGGACATCTCCCCAGACATAGTGGATACAACATCCACGCTACAGACACGGCCTAGGCTGCGTTAGGGACCTGTATGGGTGAAGGGGCGAGCACTTACTAACAGTGACAACGACATCACATTTCAGGGGACGTTAAAGACGTAAATATGACTTCACTCAGAGCATATCAACTACGTTACTGTAACACTTGCACAATCAACTATTAATTGGGTCAAATCACTTAAAGAAGGGCGAATTACAACACAGAGTGGAATGGCCTACCTGTATGGGTGAAGGGCGAGCACTTACTAACCGTTGAAATGCCCGCGGCACCCTCACTCAGAATAGGTCAGGGAGTCCACTTACTTCTATTTCGATGAATTAATTTACTGTACACTCTGACGTTGAAACTGAGACTATGAACTCAGTTTCATTCCCTACTATTATCCTCACTAACAATGCTCTGACTGAGCTATCAAAAGCAAAATTAAATTGATTACAAAGGGTTGGATGGCAACAGGTCCCAACATACAGCGTCTTGCTACAAAATCTGCGGATTATATTCAAAGTTCCCTTAAGACAAAGACCGCCTATCGATGACGTCACCCAGGAACAGAGAAAACGGGGGACGTTTCCACTGGGGGACTCGGAAGGTTTTGTGGACGTTTAAGCGTAATATGAATCCTTAAGGTTTTCAGGTTAGCCGTCATCACGATCATGACATTATGTTCCTAAAAACGCGACACTATACGAAACAACGTTAAGCCGATCAATTTTCCCCATAAGAAATAGATAAAATACAGGAGTTACGTTCCTGATCCTCCCTTTGCCCCATGAAATACATTACATATACAGAAAATCATTGCCATTTCTATAGAAAATACTGTAGTGCATACATATACAACTTCTGAGTTTGTATTGGTACTCACCGATGGGTGGAGGTGGTAGAGCGAGTGTGTGGTGGGTAGTGAAGCAGAGGAGGCAGACAGCGGGAGGGTAGGTGCATGGCGGCAGCGAAGGAGGAGGGTGGTGAGTCACTGAGGCTCTGCGTTGAGCCGAGAGAGCGTAGCCGGGCCAGACGAGAGAGGGTGATGCGCCATAGAAAGTAGTCTGTGACGACGCAAAACGACGTACTTGTAGTATCGGATCACTGGGACGTTAAACAAATTTTTGGTCTCTAAAGTTTAGTGACGTAGTGCCGAAACAACGTTAAGCGGGATGACGTTAAGCACGAACTACCTGTACACTATTCATAGTTACATTCTTAGTGCAGATTATTATAAATATTACTTATATTTAAGCTATGTAGTGAGGTGTGATGCTGTAGGAGTTATTGTACTCTTGCAAAATTCAGCAGTTAATAGACCTCGCAGTTCTAAGGCACTCGATAAGCTTGCATGGTTACTGTATTGTAGATGTTATTGTACAGTACTGTTTATAGTTGACACTTTATTGTAGTCTGTAGATGTAATGGTATCAGTATGTAGTCTGTTCACTCAGACTTTGCAACTGAGGTATGGGATGTTTGTAGCATGGCAGCTGATTGGCTGGTAGACGGACACCAGAAGAGTCACTACGGGTCTTCAGTTCAGGGTATGTAATGTATTGTAGTATTTTATTTCTGATATTTTAAGGGATAATGGCTGTATTCTGTGTTGATCTCTGATAATTTCTGCACTTGTGGAAGTAAAGATTAGCATGTGAAGTGCTCAAGTAACATAAATACCTTAAAGAGAACAAGAAAAAGATTACTGTACAAAATTTCAGAACATCCGCCACCATGCTGAGTTAAGTCATGTGGTGAGGAGGAGTTTATATCCCAGAATTTGTTCATGGTTGTGTTCTTTTCAAGATACAGTAAAACCTCAAATATCCAGAATGCATGGGGAATTGAGTGTGCTGGATAATCGTTTTTTTCTGGATGCTTGAGAGTTACTCTTAAAACAGTGGCGTATTCTTAATGAATGCAAGGCACAATATATTTTTAAATTGTATCTTCAGTAATACAGTTTTCACTCAGGAAAGTTGAGGAGACTCAGCATCCCTCATTGTATGCAAAAGGATAAGCTGCATGCCCTCTTTGGACATATAGACATAACCATCCTAACAATAACATGCTAAAATTAACTTTATTGTGTTGGAGCATAAGGAATATGAGCTATTTTAGTCAAATTTAATACTTTTTTCCCTTAATAAGCACAAAGTCTTATATTATACGGTGATATTATATTACCTTAGAGTTGTTGTTCCATAAGAGTGGCTATTTAAGAAGGTTTCTGTAAATGTAATGGGTACAAATGCATGCACATCAAAAACTGCATTCACTTGTCGAGAGGCTTTGTAGACCGGCGACGGCTCTCAGTCAGCTGGACAAAACTGGTCCACATTATTATTTTTAATATTTCTAAATAACTCTACAGTTCACTTTAATTATAGTTTTCACTTGGGAAAGTTATTCATTTTTGTTTTACTTGAAATAATAATTTTGATTTATTTATTTTTATTTTTTTAGTTTATTGGACACCCCCCTAAATCCTGTGCAAGGTGAAGTGCAGAAGCGCCAGCGCCCATCTTGGAAGCATGCTAAGTTCATGCTTGCCTTTATGTCTCATGAGTTAAGGGGATAGAAGCCTGAAGGTTCATAGGTTTTTTGTAAAGGGCGTAAAAGCCTAAAGAGTCATAGGTTTTTGTCAGCAAGTTATTGGAAGCTCCAACAACTTTCCCTGAATACGAATTCGCAACTTTCATTGTACAACAGGTACCTACTTTACTACTAGGTGAACAGGGACCAATGAGGGCTCGGAAGTGTGTCCAAACAACTTTCCACCGGCCCGAGAATCGAACCCGTGACATCTCGCTTGCGAGGCAAGAGCGGTACCGCTATACCACCGGCGCCCCTTGAAATAATAATCAGATCATATAAATAAAAATATTTACTAATTATTTAAATGTTCATCAATAAGATCATTGGCAACTTTACAGCATTGTGCACCCATTATCTAATGATTTATAATAGATACTTTGTCAAACGCCACTGATATAATTTAATTAAGTGAAGTCATAATTTAGATTCTAAATTAAATGGCAACTAGCCAAACATGAACTGTAGGAAATAGGCAGTATATAGGTGTTTATAAACGCTTGCTTCATCTGTGCAACCACAGTATGCCACTGTCTTATAAATATGCATCTTAAAAGGACACAGTAAATATATTATAAAAGAAAAAAAAGGACATTAAATATATTCTTCCATCAACACATGATAACTTTTGCCCTTCTCCAGTCTCTTACATATACTGTAGTATTAATCTTCTGCCTTAGAGTAAGTACAACACATTTGCACTTGGCTGTAGCTCCTGTCTTAAGCATGCTGGATGGATGGATGAGGCAATGATAGCGGATACACTGGCACAAACATTCAAGTAAGCGGAACTGTAATGTGGTGCCCAGTGTGTTTGGCCAACATGGAGGACGCACACAGCACCTCTAGTGGCCAGAAATGGAACCACGGGCAAAGCGGCACCAAATTCAAACCGATTTTCATGATTTTTTTTATGTGATTAGACATCACTTACTGGAAATTGACCCCACCAAAAAAATGCAGCTGCTTGAGAGCTCCGAATGGTTAAATGCCGGACATCCGAGGTTACCGGAGTGTTTCACATGCTAATATTTGCTTCTCCAAGTGCAGAAATTATGAGATCAACACAGAGTATTGGTAGTTATTATCCCTTAAAATATCAGAATGTATATATATATATATATATATATATATATATATATATATATATATATATATATATATATATATATATATATATATATATATATATATATATATATATATATATATATATATATATATTTTATCATATTTGCCACTTATCAGCTTACTGTTGTGACTTATTCCATGTCCATCTGCTAGCCGATCAACTTTCTTGCTACGAATGGACCCTCGGCCTCACTTGCAAGGATCTAGTGAACAGACTATAGGTACAGGATTTTAGAATTAATTTCCTGACTTTTCTTTCCACAGATATTAAGTGAATGATAGTGGCAGATGGTTTACAAGCATTAGCCACCAGAGATACAGTATACATATATTAGTGTGAGGTGTACAGTACAGTACTATAGTGTGCTCATGGACTAATGAAAAATTATTATGAAAATGATTGTCATTAAAAATTATTCTATGTCTGTTTGTGTTATAAGATGGTTCAAGTAAATTAGGGCAGTAGATGATGTCATTAGAAAGTGTATATATATAGGATTACCACCTCACATGAATACAGCACTGTACTTTATTGTCAGGTACTGCACCACCACCACTCACTGACTTTACATTAGATGCACTACATATACTGTACAGTATCAACTCAAGGTGCACAACAGCCACTCTTTACATGAGAGTTATCGTACCGGACTTAGCCATTATTTTTGGTACATTTTTCACAATTAACAATTCTTCACTGTGGACTCCATCTTAAATACAGTACAGTAGTTACATTTGAAAGTTAGTATATTTCTTGTTGTTTTATGATATTAAGAAGGTTAATTCTACTATTTATACTGTACAGTATATTATCATCCATCTTGTGTTTTGATAACCTCTCAGAGTACAGATTAGTATTTGCTTAATGTTATTTTACACACCTGTACCTGCACTTGTCCATTGGGCTGTTTGATCAATCTCCTCCTATTATATTCCTACTCTCTTGTACTCTATGCTTTACACATATACAATACATAAATTCATTGTATTTTGGTCCCATTTTTTATGATTTTATGAATTATTTCTGTTGTCTCATCACAATATTTCTGTTGAGAGTCTTTGACATTGATCACAGTTGTCTCCAGTCTAATAAGAATTGTAAAAATATTAGTAATACTACATGTCTTTATGGTAACAATATTGTAGGCAGTATTACTTCACATCACTGCTTTTGTTTTGATGCCATAGAAAGTTGAATATATTTATGGAAATTACTTAGTTATGAAGATAGGCCTCTGATGTATTCTTTATCTGACATCGATAAAAGTTGGGAGCCATTTGGAGGCTGAATCTGGAAGAAGTTTCCCTGTTCACTGTCTTACAAGTCATCATTGCTTACAACAGTAATTGTATTTTATAATGGAACACCGTGCAGAAGAGCAATCATTTCATTACTCTGAAAGTTTTAAAGAACTGCAGATAGATTCTGACCTAGTTAAAAATATTAGAGCACAGATAGCTGAGATACCATTAGAATGTACTGTGTGTCACAAAGCTTTTACCCAAAAAGAAAACCTTATTTCACACATGATACATCACAGTGTAGAGAAACAGTTGCAGTGTTCAAAGTGCTTAAGAGAATTTTCACATGAATTTGATTTGGTAACACACATGAAATTTCATACAGGAGAGAAACCATTCCAGTGTCCAGAATGTCTTCAAGACTTTTCAGAGAAAGATAGTTTAATAGGACACTTGAGAGCCCATACAGGGGAGAAACCATTCAAATGTTCAGAGTGTTTTAAAGGTTTCTCAGACAAATCTGCTCTAGTAACACACACAAGGAACCATAACAGAGAGAAACCATTTCAGTGTTCAGAATGTCTTAAAAACTTTACACACAAATATCATCTGGTAACACACACAAGAGTTCACACAGGAGAGAAGCCCTACCAGTGCTCTGAGTGTCACAAAGACTTCTCACATAAATCTAATCTAAAAACACACATGAAAGTTCATACGGGAGAGAAGCCTTTCCAGTGTTCAGAATGTCTCAAAGGTTTCTCACTCAAAGCTCATCTTATATCACATGTGAAAGTTCACACAGGTGAGAAACCATTTCAGTGTTCAGAATGTCTTAAAGACTTTTCAAATAAATCTAATCTAGTATTACATATGAGAGTTCATACAGGAGAGAAACCCTTTCAGTGTTCCGAGTGTATGAGAAATTTTTCAAGTAGATCTCATTTAGTGAGACACAAGAACGTTCATACGGGAGAGAAACCATTCCAGTGTTCTGACTGTCTCAAATACTTCTCACAAAAATCTCATTTAGTAAAACATCAGAGAGTTCATACTGGAGAGAAGCTGTTTCATTGTTCAGAATGTCTCAAAGACTTTCCTGAAAAGTCTAATCTTGTTAAACATATGAAAATTCATACAAGAGGGAAACCATCGTAGTTATTTTTAGAATATCTGATTTATTAATTTTTTTTAGAAAATGCTTAATATAGATTGATATACAGATAATTAGTTTATATAGAGTGATATAGCTATAACTTATGGTGAACTTGATAATTCTATAGTACTGTATGTCTGGGACAATTGCCATATTGGAGAGTTGGTCCCAGGATACCCTCTCCTTCCTTTCCTCTGCCCTAATAACTGCCAATAAGTACAATTGTTAGTAAGAATTGTTCAATTTCTGAGACATGTAAACAAGACTGATATTTTGGTGTGTTGAGATGATTTTGTTTTGACACACCACAGATATTTTGTTAAATTAAATTCCTTTTGCTAATCACCATAATATTCCTATGTATACTGTAGTTATCCAACTTGTCTGGCAGACCTCCTTTCTTCTTGGCTACAAGGGGTTTCACACTGCTAAATAAAATTGTCTCATTATAGCCAAATAAAATAGTAAAAGTGATGTCCAGTAGTCAAGGGGTTATGTGTTGGTGTTTATACCATCCAGATCTCCTTTACCCTTCAAGATTAAAGACATTACTGTACTGTATACAACTTGAATAGAACAAGAAAAAGTAAACATACAAACACCTTAAAAGTATTGACTAAAAGTCAGATATAGACACATTAAATTAGTTTATTTTAATGCAGTAAATAATTTGAACATATTAACATACACTGATGCAAACAATTTCTAAATATTCAGAATGAATTCGTGGAATTTCAGCAGTTGTTCTGGGATGTAGTTATATTATCAGTTCCTAAGACTGTTTTATCAGCCAAACTTACTGGTAACATTGATGGTGGACAGTGTACAGTACAGCATTGTTTGTGTTATAATCACTCTACACTCTCAATTTCATCATTATGACAAACTTTCGAATGAGATATTAAAAGTGAGGACTGTACATGGTGTATATCAGTTGTCTCTATACTGCACCAAATATCCTTTTTCTGTGAAGCCCATCATTTGAGATCTTTGATCCTTGTGTGATTGGATGAATGACATTGCATAATGCAGATACCCTGATTGACCTTTCTAGAAGGATCAGAAGGTCATGGTGAGACAAGATGACCTGATTTTACATGGCCACATATTTACAGTCATTTTGAGGTACTGTATGTCAATGACTGTTGTTTGCTAACTTTGGTGTCCTGCATTGAGTTTACTTTGAGCTTTGTTCTCTAATCTCTAGCTTCCTCAAGAACCAATCCATGGCAGTTGTTGTTGAGGGATTGATCTCGCTCTCTTTCTCTACCAATAGTGGTGTCCCACAGGGTTCTGTTCTTTCACCTACTCTCTTCCTTCTTTTTATCAATGATTTACTTCACAATACGACTAATTCTATCCATTCTTACGCTGATGATTCTACTCTTCACTCTTCTTCACATTTTCCCCTTCCCCCCTAATTCTCAAACTAGATCTGTTTCTAGAGCTGGTATTTCATCTACCAATGTGGATCTGTGCAGCATCTCTGAATGGGGAGGTAGAAACTTGGTTAAATTCAATAGTAATAAAACTCAGTATTTATCAATTACACTTTCCAAATTAGATGATCTACCACCAATCACATTTCAGGATGCAATCATTCTGCCAAATTCTAAAATAGATACCTGTATGCTAGGCCTCACCATTTCCTCTAATATGTCGTGGAAGCCACACATCCACAACATTGCTAAAGCTGCCTCCTGAAAGCTGGGATTGCTGTACAGATGCCGTAGCTACTTCACTCCTGAGCAGTTGCTTCAAGTTTATAAGGGATTCATTCGTCTTAACTTGGAGTACTGCTCTCATATCTGGGGTGGCTCCTCTTCTGTCCAACTATTAGATAGGGTGCAATCAAAAGTATTTCGTTTTATTGACTCTCCTCCTCTAGTTGATAATCTTTCTTCCCTTTCTCTTCGCTGCAATGTTGCTTCACTCTCCCTCTCTTTTACAGGAACTTTAACGGGCAATGTTCGGTGGATTTGGCATCCTGTGTACTGCCGGCAAGGCCGTGGGCTCGTAACACTCATCTTGCCCGCGGTGCCCACCATTTGTCTGTGGATGTCGGTCACACTAGAATAACCTGTTATAGTACATCCTTCTTTTCTCACACAGCCAAACTGTGGAATGCTCTGCCTTCTTCTGTGTTTCCATACTCGTACAATCTGTCTCACTTCAATAAGCTGGTTTTTCGGCATCTTCGTGGTGTAGATTAATATAATCTTTTTCTTTTCTATTTTTAATTTCTTTTTACTCTTATTTTTTCGCCCTCTAGGCCTCATTGTGGGTCGATGACCTGTGCCCGGGTGGGCTATTCCCTATAAAAAAAAATGTGGAGAATGTTATTCACAGGAAAGGGTCAAGCGGATACAGTGCCCACCTCCTGTCCTCATGGTTGTTGGTTTGTGCCTAGGCACCCTCAGTCCACCCAGGTGTAAATGGGTACCTAAATATACAGTTAGAAAAATTAAGGTAATATACTTAAGCAGAGAGCTGGCCACACTGACTTCTTGTACAGTGAGTTCTGCTATAACGCGTGTTTTGATAACGCGAATTTGCTCTAACGCGATTTATGAATTCGGAACAATATTTGTATAACGCGATCGCTTGTTTGCTATAACGCGATTTTTGCTTACTATTTCTCCAATTTTGTGGTATTAACTGTGAATATGGTAAAGAAGAATATCTCCAAAAAGCATTCTGATGATAGAATTCCCGGTGATTATCGTAAAAGAAAGGATATAACACTTGAAGAGAAGCTTGATGTTATCAACCTCAAAATCACCCTTCTCCCCCATCAAGTTACATTCATATTTTTTCAAGGTAAAGTGTTAAATTTACTGTATGATTTCATTATTAGATATGAATGTAACATTTATTTAGACTGTGCTATCCTTTGTGTTAGGCTAACTACTAAATTTTTTCGATTTCGAGTAAACTGCACCTAACCCTATTTTCTCCATAAGCCCTGTTATTTCTATTACGCGATTTTCTATAACACGATATTTTACAAGAACACAATTATCGCGTTATAGCAGAACTACCTGTATACTGATAAAAGGCTTTTTCACACTGTTGTATCCACACAGCTCCTAACTGATCACCAGGACCACCACCTTTATCACTCATAGGACAGCACAGATCAGTGCTCACAGGATAATACCAAACCAGTCAAGTCCAGTTTTGATGATTATACCTTTCACATTTCCAGTATTTCCTCACCCTCCTCCCTCATGTGATGGGTTGTGTTTATGTTATGTAGAGTAAGAATTAGGGAAATAAAAAGAGATTCAGTTTTTGTTATGGATGAATCAGATATGGTGACAGTGGGTTAGACCAGCATAAGTACAGTACAGTATAGGGCCCCCCCAAATTCGCGAGGGTTAGGTTCTCAAAATGGCTGCGAATTGCCAAATCCGTGAATAACATTTGCGGACCCGGGGGGGGGGGGACATTTTTACTTGCGTGTAAAGAAATGTATATTCCCTTTATGTATTTGCCCTTAGGACAATTATTTTTTTTTTACCTGTATTGTATGTGTGTGTCTACACACATACAGTATTTACAATACAGGTAAAGGAAATTACTGTCTCTAGAACAACTGGCTCCGTCCCAGCCCCAAAAATGCCGGCAACTTAAAACTACCCACAAACATTCTTGGGTACATCCAGGGTGTCATCCGTGAATAATAGAGGACCTTGAAATAAAAAGCCGTGAACTTGGGGGGAATGAATGTGTTTCATCTTACACATACAATACTTCTTGTCTTATTTATAGTAATACTTTACTACAAAGTCGTCATTATAGATAGTGGTAATGTGTACAGTATTTAGTTATACAATATTCTGTACATACATTATTACTTTCCAAAATAACATGAAAATTTATTTGAAATAGCGAGTGCATCACCTGTCTTGACTGTAGTTATATGTTCAGTAATAAAATACAAGAATATGAATGTGTCTATTAATCAGCCTTATATATTTTCATCTTTCTATACACAGAATTTTTTAATTTAGTTCTTTCTTTAATACAAACTGAAATTGTGATGTTAATACCGTACAGTGTTAGGTAAGGTTGCCTGTACAGTACACAGTGATGGTCTGTACTGTACCAAGGAGAGACAATTTTCTATTCCAACATGTTAAAGATCCGACTCACTAAAGGGTGGAGCAATCACCCAAATTGTTGGATTTCATCATAACTAGAGGAAGCTATGGTGGCAAATCTGGAACACCTAGCCCCTATTGTCACTGGTCACCATGTAATGTTGTCCTTCAGATTTAACTGTTAGTTGGTTCATGACAAAAGCAGGTCCAGGTTCAAATATTACAAAGGAAATTATGATGGGATGAGGGAGGAGATGAGGGGGTATACACTGTCCTGACTTACTGAGGAATGAGAATGCAGATACTACGTTGAATATCATAGCCAGGAAAGATAACCATTTGATCGATAAATATATACCCAATACCAAACCCAGTGCCTCCAGGAATACAAGGAGACTGCTACACATGAACCATGCGGCGGTCGACAAAGTTAAAAAGAAAACTCAGGATTTTGAGATGTGGGTTAGGACAAATGATAAGCAGGACAGGAAGATGTATGCCAGATCCAGGAACCAAGCAAAGCCAAGTGTAGAAGGGCTGAAAAAGAGTTTCAGAGGCAGAGTGCAAGTGAGGTCAAGTCAAACCCAAAGGCTTTTTACCGCTATGCAAAGTCGAAATTAAAAACGAAAGTAGGCATATCTGACCTGAGACTTGAAGATGGTAGTTAAGCAGATTTTGACCAGGATATGGCGGAGGTGTTGGACCAATTCTTTTCTTCGGTGTTTACAAGAAAGGATGCAAACAATCTTCCTGCGTTTGAGGAAAGATGGTCTGACACACTGCTGAACCACATTGTGTTCTCGGATGAGGTTTTAAGAAATAAAATGTCAAAGCTAAAGATTCACAAGAGTCCCGGCCCTGATATGGTACACCCCAGAGTGTTAAGAGAACTGTGTAACGAGCTTGTGGAGCCCCTTAAGATCCTGTTTTGCAAATGCCTGGAGGAGCAAAAGGTCCCCATTGATTGGAAAGTGGCTTATGCGAGTCCTATATTCAAGAAAGGTGAACGTCACTCCACAAATAATTGTAGACCAGTGAGTCTGACCAGCATAGTGTGCAAAGTACTAGAGAGCATCAAAAGAGATGCTATGATGGAACATCTACTACAAAACAACCTTGTAAAGGACTGCCAACATGGTTTTATGCCGGGATGATCCTGCTTAACACAATTACTCAAGATACTGGATGTTTGGACTCAAATTCCAGAATAAGGCAGAAATGTCGACAAAATATACCTAGATTTTACCAAGGCTTTCAACAGCATACCCCATGAAAGGCTGCAAATTAAATTGAAAGAGTATGGGATTCAGGGAAGTGTCCTTGCATGGATTGGAGACTTTCTGCATGACTGCAAACAGTCATGTGTGCTTGTGACAAGCTGGGTACCACAGGGCAGTGTATTGGGCCAGTTATTGTTTGTTTGCTTCATAAATTATATGCCAGAAGCTATACACTCCTCCATTCTTCATACAAATGTTTGCAGACAATGCCAAGTATTATTAAAACACTTTGCAAACTTGAAAGAATGTGAGTCTAGCTATTGTGAACTTATATCAAATTTGACGAAGTGTTTTAGCAGCAATCTTGGATGGATGACTATGCTGTATTGCCTAAACAGCTACAGTCACTTAAAGAATGGTAAATGTAACGCTGGTGGGCAACGAAAAGGTATAAGGATAACCTTAAGACAAACCTGAAAAAGTGACAAATTGACCCCCTCACCTGGGAGACAATCACTCCATACAGTAATGTTTGGAGGAGCACCACACGAGAAGGTGTTGATACTATCCAGTTTGCTCAACTACATACCATGGCAAATAAGCACCACCATCTGAGAAACACAGGCACTGCCTCTACCACACTAGATGTAAACCTCCATATGTGCAACATCTGTGGATGACCCTGACGGTCACGTATCATTCTCTTGAACCACCTCACAGAGTGCTAACAAAGGTGATGTCACTAAAAACTCACACCATTGTAACATTGCTGGATGATCATCATACTCGACTCCAAGTGACAGCAAAGTAGTAGTGTATAATAATAATAATAATAATAATAATAATAATAATAATAATTGACGGTTTATTGAAAAAGTTCTGCAGCCCGAAGGCTGAAAATATACATTGGACATAAATGACTTATTACATACATTGGTGGTTTAACAAAAGCCTTCATGAGAGAAAGGTAAAGGAACATACAG